AGGACAGGAAAAGAAAGAAAGGGGAAGAAAGGAAAGGAGGAAAGGAAAGGAAGAAAGGAAAGAAAGGGGAGGAAAAGAAAGGAGAGGAGGGAAGGACAGGAAAGGAAAGCGGAGGGAAAGGAAAGGACAGGAAAGGAAAGGAAAGAAAGAAACAAAAGGACAGGAAAGGGAAGGGTAGGAGGGAAGGAAAGGAGAGGAAAGGAAAGGAGGGAAGGACAGGACAGGAAAGGGGAGGAAAAGAAAGGAACGGAAAGGAAGAAAAACCGGCTTCTGCAAAGAGCGTCTTGCCTTATATACAGTAAACAGAGCCTTTGGGAATATTATAGCCCTAAATTGCTGGAAGACCAAAACCAACTTCCACACCTGGGGAGGTAGAGGATCAACCTGTTCTTCTTACACTTCTTGATGGTAATATTGGTAAGAGAGAACACTCTCTGTGTAACGATTGAAAGTTCTCCATCTCTGTGGGCTTTTATGCAGAGGTTGGACAGCCAGTTCTAGCGGAGGACCAAGTTGCTTTTCCTGCAGATGAGAAAGGCTTGGAGGAGGCGTTCTTTGGGGATCCATCAGCTCCTCATCTTTGCAGTTCTATGATTTATGGATGCAGCCTATATAGCCATTGGCAAATGACCATTCGAGACCAGCCATTGTTTTATTGAACCTCAACATTGGCACCAGAGAGAGAAAAATATGAACTCAATTTGGACCGCAGTTCCTATATAATGGAAAATAGATTGAACTGTTTAAATGGTTTTGCTCAAACAGGAATTAAACATCTCTTGGATGCTTTCCTTTTTTTATTTCCTAATTAGGACCCCAACTTTTGGAGAATAAATTCAGACCATTGGCTGTGGTCAGCCTCATAAAGGATCTCATTATTATATAACTGCTCCAAAGCCGTGGCAATGAGTTATAATTATTTTCTTCTTTCCTAATTGGGCGTCTGTGTCTCTGTTTCCAAATACGGCTGGAAAACAAATGACTAATTGCGGGGAAACTTTGATTTTTTTTTTTTCTTCGTTGACATGCAGGAAATGAAACTAGGCAGAAAGCACTGCCCCAAACAAACCTCAGCAAAACTCACATAATGGAAGATTTTTATTTTTTATATTTGCCATGGGAGGCAGATAGGGAAGGGCAGATTTTATGTCCACGATCCAAGTTAGCCTTTGAAAATATTCACTAGGAAAGCTGTACGTGTAACTCTGGGCATCCTTTAGCTGTGTGTGTCTGTGTCAAAAAAGTCACTTTGGCAGTTGTGTGTGTGTCATTGAAGACCCTTCAAATGCACCTAGAATTCCATTCCATTCCATTCTCCTATTCTATTCTATTCTATTATCTCTACTCCACTCCACTCCACTCTACACTACTCTACTCAACACCCTATTCTATTTTCTGTTCCATTCCATTCTTTATTTTGTTCTGTTCTGTTTCATTTTCTATTGTTCTGTTCTGTTCTGTTCTATTCTATTCTATTCTATTCTATTCTATTCTATTCTATTCTAT